ATCACTATGTCCCAACAAAAAGGAAAAAGAGAGAGAGAGAGGGACACAGAGAGAGAGAGAGAGAGAGAGAGAGAGAGAGAGAGAGAGAGAGAGAGAGAAAGGCATCACTTCTTCATTCAGATTTCCATGCATTATCTCCAAATGATGTTCATGATTATCACCTCCCACGTGCAGCACATGTCTGTCTTCCTCTGTAGTAAACATGAAGTCTACTTAACTCTCGTCAATATTTATTTTTACAAGTTGTGAATTTAAAGTTTGTGATGGAATGAATGGCAGGAGGTGAGATTGGTCATTTCTGCTATAACCCTGACTTTGGGGGCCAAAGGCAAAAGGTACAACATCAAACCAAACCCAAGAAAAGACACCAAACCACATTATTCCAATCTTGAAACAAATATTTTACTATCAAAGTCTGTACAGTGCCTATGTATTAATAATGACGGTAAAATTGAAGTAATCATCCTCAGCGTACTCTTTCAGACATTCTTGTTTTCAACCAAACATCTAAATTAACAAAGCTTCTGGCTTGTGACACTAGTTAGAGAATTTCCGACCTTGAAATCATTGAAGTTTCCTGAACAGATTCAGTCATTGAATACAGGTTTATATGTACGCCAACAAATCAAATAAGACAAAGCACCTGAAGATGTACTTGTAGTACTTCTATGCTCTTCAAACTAGACTCTATGTGTGTGTGTATGTGTGTGTGTGTGTTGTCGTACCAGATTTGGGGTTGCAGAGAACAGGTGGACTGCTGCTGAGCGTAGGGCTGCTGCTGTAATAACCGCTGCTGCCACAGCTGCTGCTCATGCTGCTCCGGCGGACTCCGACCATCACCTTTATCTCTTTGGTGGGACTCACTGAGACAGAAGGAGACGGAGAGATGTTGGACTAGAACATAAACAGCAGAGTGAGGAAAGAACTAGAAGGGAAAACAGTGTACAGATAAGTTGGATAAGCGAGAATAGTTAAAATAAACTCTTTTGGTTGGAATTTTTTTTATTTTAAGCCAAAGATTTCCCTTGGGATCTTATTTGTCTGCTGATTATTGGCACTTGATGCAACGTCTCGGAGTAATTTGTGTTTCTCTTGTGAGTGGACTTTATTACATTCAAAAGAGAAAAGCTTGTGGTTTCCACTGTCACAGACCTCCACAAAGACATACATGTATATCTGAAGTGCTGAAGTCTGATCCAAGAGGTATCAACCAAAATAAAATCCCAAGTTGAGCTGCAGTTACAAAGACAACTTTCCTACTTATTATTTCATGCAACTTTTCACCATGGCTCCAAGCACAGCAGTTAACGTGACTGTGAGTGAGCATGTGATAAAGAAAAAGCAACCAGCCAAGGGGATTGTTTGATTACATAATTTGGGCAAAGAAAAGAAAACTGATTCACTAAACATGAAAATACAAAACAACAGCACCTCATTGAAAGTTCTCTTTGCTCTGTCTGACCAAGAGTCTTAAACTAAAATGATGTATGATGAAGAAAAGCAGCAAAACCTCTCGTGAGGAGCTGGAGACTGAAGAGATGTTAAACTTTATGTTTTACCATTTTTGCTTGAAACAAATAATCAGCAAAATAGAGTTTAAAGTTCAATCTGAAGATGTTGGTCAGGTTTAAATTTAAGGACAGGTTCATGGAGTTCAACAGAGTTCATACTGAGTCTTAGGACTATTTGGTGTAATACACTATGATACAGTGTTGAACATGTGTGTGTAGTGATTGTACAGTTACTTTCCATGTCTGCGTGGTGCAGTGTTCACCTGAGAGGAAGCTGGTGTTGCCTCCATCTGAGTTCTGCTTGCGGAGACAGAAGGGGCTGTCGTGGCTCTCGGGAATGCTGCGGCTGCGCTCGTGAAGGAGCTCGAGGAGTCGCCGCCGTCGCCGGAAATTCATCCTGAACTGGTAGAGGAGGGGCCCGTCGGCAAAGTGATGCTTGTTGGTGACTAGATGACAAACAGAATGGACATGGATAGAATAAGTTTTGATAAAGATGGGGAATAATTTTATCTCCTCTTTCAGAAAGTATGCAAAAGATAAAGGGATGGAAGTCATGAGATAATGAATTGACATTTCAATCATTAAAACATGAACAGTCTTACTCTGGCGTGTTTTATTTGTTGTGAGTGATATTTCAATAACTAAGAGACATTGTGATTTTTTTCCCCACAGGTCGGCTGAACCTACGTGAGCAGCACTAAACAAACTTCCACAGAGCTGAGATCACCTGTGTTAAACAAACAAACCACAGAGAGAACTGACCTGGGTCATCTCAGCGGGATAGATCAGAGCAGTGGAACCAGAGAGTTGCCAGAGTACACGTTTATTAAAATCAATAAGCTTGTCAAAGTAAAACTTAATTCCACACCATGCTCTTATTTTGTTAGGTTTTTTTTAGATTTAAATGTAAAAGATTTACTTTTGGATGGTAAAATGCGAAGATACAGGGTGAGATATACCGTTTACAGTGTCGGTAAAGACTCTCAGTCATCCAGGTCACGGTTATTCAAGAGGAGTTGGATCGAGGGCAGTAGAACTTGACATTTGAGTGACTGATGGGAAGTCCCGGGTATTTAACCTCTGAGGGTGTGTGTGCTCCTGGCACTTGTAGCGACAGTCATTTACGTCATTGGAGTCACATGGGACCAAGTGTAAACAATCATCTTGACGTCACATGAATGTCAAGTGTGAATGTTTGTATTAGCAGAGAATAGTAATTAAGTCCGAAACATAGGTGATGCAAGACAGTCGGAGAAAAAAACTGTATAGTGTATTGAACTGAGCTATAGTGCGGTTTATACTTCATGACTTTCCATTTTGAAAAAGGGATGAATGTGTTACTAATTTATTCAAAACTTACACTTTAACCTCAAAAGAAATTAAAAAATAAACTAAAAATGATCTATATTTTACTACTTGAGACACAAGAGTTGACAGCAGTGGTCAATCTGTGGCTGGTCAACAATATACCTAAAACTACAAGAACACATTATGCCAAAAAGTAATTTAGTCTACTTCTACTGTATGGTCTTTTGGCTTCCTTTTAATTTAACTGCACATAAACACACTGGCTTCAAAGTCAGGTCAAATGTGATATGGATATAAGGCTATTGTCAACAAAGACTTCTAGGTTTTTCTCTAATTCAGTTTAAACTGACTTAAACTTGACACCTGCAGTCTCAGTTTGAGATTTATGAAGCCTTACCCAGCATGCTGTTGGCCGAATGCCTTTGCCACGGCAACCTTCCTCTCACCACCTCATATTCTTGATTTGCCTTTGGGCATTATCTGCAACGTACAGTCTGTGTCTTTGTGTGGGACTCAGCTGCACAATGCAGGAAAACAACTGCCATGCTGTCCCACAGAAAACACACAAACCAAACACAATGAGGATCCATCCAGACCTGTCCCCCTATACGTCACATGTGTGAATGTGTGGCCGCGGCCAACAGCCGAGCAGGAATTCAGACTGGTCCGTCATCTCTTTCTCTCGTCTCTTTTTAATGTGATTCTCAAGGGAGCTGAGCGTGCAAACACAATATCTATTAAACTAAATTATTTTTGATTATCCTACCTACTGTTACAAAAGCATGTGTGACACTCTGTGTAGTATATCATATATCATAATGCAGTTATTTCAACTGGGAGGGTGACACCATGAAGCCTCTAAGGCCAGCAGGAAGCAGATCAAGCTCTGTATTACATTAACTAAGTGAAGCAACAACACACAGCTCTGCAGTGTGTGTGTTTGTGTGTGTGTTGAACAACACTACATTCCTAGTTCCCTGGAGATGCTCGGCTCTATTACAGCCCTTAAGACAGGAAGTGAGAGACAGCAGATGGGCCCACTGAGTGACGAGGGGCGATCAGGCGAAGGGAGGAAGAGAAGCAGGAGCAGACGAGGGAGAGAGGGAAGAAATGATTCCCTCATTGAACTCAATGGATTTTGGAGTGGATCCGGACAAAGGGGCAGATCCAGGAATTGATTTAATTTCATTTTCTCCAATTTCTCAGGAATAATTCATTATTCTTTATGGGGAAAATAATTAAGGGGACTATTAGGCCTTGGTGGATGTGTGCACTCTACTGAATATTTTTTTATATGTGTACTGTGCTCATGTGTGTCTAATTAAATCATACATGGGTGTGAACCCCAGACAGCAACATATAATCAAATTTCAGGTCATGTGGTGACACAACAGAAACTCATTCAGGACCCAGGCCAAGCGCCGAACAAAATGTCAAACATGAGAAGTGTCGTGAACACGGTGCACTGCCATCGCAGGAGGCAAAAACACTCAAACACATTTGACGGTTTGAAGGAAAACCATCCTGTCATATGGTCACAGATAACATGATAGCCCTGGCTCCTGCTGAACTCCAGGATCCTGTGACATTCAGGTCACATTTTCCTCATGTTTATTACTCAGTGAAATTCTATAACTCGTATCCCTAAGCCAACTCAGGTCAGCGACAGGAGACTTAAAGAGAGACCCCAATCGCAGCGTGAGATATAATGTGGGTCAGTTCAGAAAGGCTGGGGGCCCAAGGTGAGCTCTAATGAGATTTAGGAGAGGACAAGAATGGGCGCTGTACTTTGAAAGTTTCCATTTTTAAAGCTTCCAGTTTCCCTGGGCTATATTAACCCAGTTTTGTTTTTGATGTGTGAGGTTGTGTGCAAGAAAACCACAACCAGACTCCACCATAGATCTATCTACACATATTTATGACACTACAGCTGGAAACTGCAGGAAAACTCGAACTGAACCCTACAGGACTTTGACAGACTGTATTAAATGAGTTGTTTCAGTGTGCAGATAGGGCTGTAATCATATTATATGTCTAAAGCAGTTATCAGATTACATGACCCAAAAAGAGCAAAGCAAAGCAGCGCTATAAACGGCAAAGTCCCCGGATTAGAGAGGAGCTGTATCAGAAACAGTCTCCATACTGCAGAGTAGATATCTGTGACAGCATCAAGTCGAGGTGAGATACAGGCGCTGCTAGCTTTACTCCCACTGATTGTCACAGATCCTCATACATTTTACACACTGAGCCTTTAAAGGAGACGGATGATTCTCATATTCAGGTTTCATAATTACAATGTGGGTTGTTACTTGAGGTTTACACGCTATAATGTCCAGAAAACACATCACTTCCCTCATACTGTCCATAGCTGCAGTTCCTCTTTTCAGCCTCTGTCTGTTTAAGGCCTCTTTAAGCCCCCCCACTGATAAAGCCCACTCTCCTCTGATTGGCCAGCTAACCCACTTTGTTTTGATTGGTCAACTGCTACAAACGTATATAGGAAATATCGGAAGAGGCGTTTCAGGAGCAGTATTTTCAGTAGGGGAGACTATGGGCTTTTTTAACTTTGCAGAACTTTAACAGAAGAAAACTATATAACAAAATAGAAAAAAGAAGAAAAAAAAAAGACAAAAACACATGTCATTAAAAACATATGAGTGACAGTTTTCAGTGGTCAGGCTTCAGACAGTTTGAACAGTCAACATGTCTTCCTCACCGTGCTGAATGATGCCATGTTCAAGAAGCCTCCGTCCGAGCTGCTCCGCCTCATCCCTGGTGGCCATCTCGCCCTCCTGCAGCAGCCAATCAATGAACTCAGAGGCCACCAGCGTCCGCTCGAACGCCCCGCCCTCCTCCTCTCTCGTCTGCAAGAGGTTGTTCTCTGTGTTCATCAGCCTGTGGAGAGAAGAAGAGAAACTTTCATTACTTTGATTATGTATAACTTAACAACATTGCATTGAAAATCAAAGTAATCCAAATGATTTTCAATACTTTTTCCATATTTAGCGCAGTATTTTGTTCTTGACTGTATCAAGAAAGAAATTTTGCAGCTCTGGTTAAAGCCTCCATTGTAACGACAGGTGTGGCTGATGTACTATACCAGTGTTATATAGAGTGCATACTCGCCTGTCAGGAAATGTGAGCTCACAGAAATGCTGCAACACTTATAAGTAATAGCCGTAGAGTAAAATAAAACACTATAGTACTGTTTAATTATGCAATTTTCTTTTATGTATATTGTAAAAGAGTTATTTTTAAAAGAAACTTTCCACCAGGGAAACTTATCCAAACCAGCAGCTCTGCCCATTTCTCCACTATGTAATCTGCACAGTCAAAATGCACAAACACAGCACTGTAACACAGTCTGGATTTGCACTTAAGCCACATACTGTATAAGCAGAGTCACTTAGAGTTAATCTTAAAACTAAATTGATGTTATTCCCAGAAAAGAATGCGTCGAAGCTACAGATCAGTCTTGCATGATGACAAGGTAACTACATCAAACGAAATCTTCAAGATCTGCTTCACTGGCAATCAATGGACGTTTGACTTTGTGGATGTGAGTCAATACAGTTTTACATTGCCTCACGTGTGTCATTTTTAAATGCTCTATATATATCAACAGACAAGTACAAACATGAAATGTTAAAATACACACTGTCACCTGAACTTAACAGAAAGAGCCCTGAAGTGCTCATAAGGAACAAGTTTTCTGTGGTATATGTCTAGACATGTGCTGGCATTGAACTGTACCATTTTGGGACAAATGATGTTCCCACACTCTTTTTTAAAGGCTATAAATCATTCACGATCAAATCGACACACCTCACAGTGTAACAGAGGCAGAGCACATATTGGTGGTACAGGTTGGACATTTTCTGACTTGGAATGATGTAAAAAAGTAAAGCAGATGAGGACATTGAACTTTTACAACATTTGGAACCATCATATAGGGCTTGAGGCTCCTGGCTGCGAACCTTTAACCACCTCCAGCCTCAGTAGGCAAGAACAGAATGTGCTCTCTGTCTTTAAAACCTTTCTCCCACATCAACAGGTAAATATGACTCCCCAGTGAAGAGGTGACGTGATCGATGACCAACATATAGTTTAACATATTTGGAAATTTGTCCATGTTCTTGCTGAGAGTTAGATGAAAAGTTTGATACCAGACTTGTGTGTTATGTGAGGCAGGGGGAAGTAACTAACCTGTTCTACAAGTAACAAAATCTGCTTACCAGCATTTCTGAAGAACCGTAAGATCCTAAGGTCACTTCAGACCCAAAAAATATTCTGGCACATAACTTGTGTCACTGAAAAAACAAAAACATTTATTTTAAGTTTCCCTACCAAAGTTTTGCAGCAAAGCAAAATAACTCTTGTGGAAATTTTAAGTTTTTTATGTTCAAATGGAAGATTGTAAGATTATAACACGACCTTGAGAAGGCTAACTGTTAGCCGATCTTCATGCTAAGAAGCCAACATGGCTTAGACATCGATCTACTCACCTAAGAAGGCCAACAGGTGACAAGGACCTGCAGTGTAAGTAGCTAATACTGATCCACAGTATTTATGTTTGACAACCTCTTGCGTGTGTATAGAAATTATGATGTGAGCATATAGGAGAAAGTCAGTGATGTAGGATAAAAAGTGAAAAAGTCAAAACAGGGAACTATTTCCTTTTGTTTTCAAATGAATAGCCATCATTGTTATTTGTATCCATAATCAGAAAAATATAAATAGGATATGTGTGCATATAGCTAACCCATTTACTGACTTAATGGCCGTGTATGCAGCAGGAGAGGTCACTGTGCCACGGAGAGTCCATGAGTTTCTCTATCGTTTATACAGTTCTGGAGAGAACATTCAACATGTTGTTTTATAACAGCAAAAACCATTAGTGCCCCTGGAGAACAGCTTCTGCTTCCACAAAGAAACCTAAATCAGGAGCATCCTTTAAAATAACTCTTCTCTTCAAAGCCTGCAGGTTTTTTTTTAGCCTGTCTCAGTGTGGTCTATTAAACTGTGACTGATGATCCAGAGAAAGCAAATGTCAGGAGAAGAATTATACCCTCATTAAACTTGCTCCCAACGTGACACCATATTCTTCAAATTTTAGCTCCGAGATGAGGCCACCAGATTAAACCATGCAGTGTTTAAGATAAATGATCCCAGCTCCACACACAGGTCTGCTTAAGTCCTTCAAGTCAACACACTCCAGAACACAAGCCTTGTTCAGATGTCAAATCTTGATTGATCATTAAGTTATGTGGGACATGTGTGACCACCCACATTGGCAGCATACATCATAATACAAACTGTTGAAGGATAATAGTGCTTCATAAGACCTGCCTGCGTACATAATGCCATTTAATCCAGTTCAACATGTTGATTCAACAGATCACGTTATGTTAGCTCAAAGGGAGTGGCACCTTTAATTTTACATATAGTAATACAGAGACCGTATATACACAATGTACACGGCTCATGACGGGAGCTGCCATGACCTGGATTTAGTTCGTTTAGATAGTTGTTCAGTCAGCATATGTAACTCAGCCAGAGTGGTGTCCACTGAAACATGGCTGTAAGATAACCAGGATTTTTCCCTGCACTCACACTCAGTCTTGCATAAAGGTGGGACACTGTTGACCCTTTTACAGCCACATGCCCTTTATAAAATTCTGATTTCAATGCTTATTTGAGGGGGGCTCCTGGAGCAAGTCAAAGTATAACAAAGTACTCATACCATTTGGACATTTCAGGGAAAACAGCTATTAAGAGGGTTAATTAGTTGAATGTCAAAGTCAATATTCAGTCAGAAGATGCATTTGTTAGAAGCTCTAAAAAATATATGTTTAGAGGCATCCGACCTGATACAGAGGTTTAAATGGAGAGAGATGAAAGTACATTTTTTCTGAGGTTTTACTTTTAATTATTTACGACAGAACCTAAGTGATTTCTGAGTGTAGCTGAAGAGAAGGAAATCCAGTTACAAACAACCCTCTTTTCTCTCATTCATTTCAAAGAGTGAATAAACAACACATTAAGAGCCCAAACTAAAATGTCCCCAATGTAAAATAAATGTTAATTTGCTTTTGAGTAGTAACCACAGTTGTAATGTTTACTAAGGCAAAGTGTGGGTCTAATGTTCACTGCATTTGATGTTTATGGTGATTCTCCTGTGGATTTGGCCTCAGTGCTGGTTGATGTTTTGAGGGAAAATGTTAAAAATGTGAGGAAAAACAAAAGTGAATGTTTAAATATGCAAAAACATGTTCCCACTTCACCAGCACTTCTCAGCTGCTCTGAGGAAACTTCACAGCTAAATGACTCCTATACTTTGAGGATTTCTGTTAGATTAAATACCCGGCTTCATGTAGTGTAAAAGGTCTTGAGCCTTTATTGACCTTTCTCATATCATGTTTAACTCTAACACATTAGACAATTAAGACTCGGAACAGCAAGCAAATCGAACAACACATAAATGATAACATTCCTGTACTTCTATCACT